TCACCTGCCAGGAACGAATGAATGATTTCACTTCTATATTGGTCTGACTTATTTATGTCATTCTGTTTGGGAATTTAAAACAGTTTGCATGTGGAACTGGCCCACCAAGCTGCATTTGACATAGCCTTCTTTCACAGTTGATTGAAATATTTTTTTGTTTAAAAACAACAACAAAAAACTTACAGGCTATTTGGTAAGAGTTTGAAAACATCTGGTGTTAAGCGAATACTGATTCTCAGTGACTCCACCCAAACAAAACACCCTGGCCTGCAGGATGATTCCAGGTGGCCCTTTCACATCCCTGAGGATGGCTGCAGGGCTGGGATATTACTCCAGGGCCTGTGCAAGTAGCCATCTTCGAAGCTTCTGCTCATTCTAATTCAGAAACCAAGGGGTTCTCTGCCCACCCCCTGCCTGGGCAGAGGGACAGGGTCCAGAGCTCCTGGCTACCAGCCTGTGATCCTGCCTTTCAGGTCAGGTCCCACCATTCCCAACAACCCAGGCCCAGCATGACTTTGCCCCCTGCATTTAATCCTGTCCTGTGATTTCTGGCATCTCCACTCAGAAAGGAATGTGGTATTCGTGCATAAGTTCATTCAGTTGCAGAGTCTCTTTCAAAAGAGCCACATTTAAACAACAAGGTCCTACTGTATAGCACAGGGAACTAAATTCAATATCCTGTGATAAACCATAATGGAAAGGAACATGAAAAAGAATATATTTATAAAATGGAATCATTTTGCCATACGGTAGAAATTATCACAGCATTGTACGTCAGCTATCCTTCAATAAATAAATTTTAAAAATAAAAAATGAAGTATGGTTAAAAATAATAAAAGAACCACATAACACTTTAGCCAAGGTCAGTCAGTCTAAGACAGATTTTAGTTTGACTTTGAAAAGCCACCGCCAGGCCATGGAATTAAAAAGCCAGAGGCCTGTGGGCCACAATCCGATGGGGTTTAGCCGGCTTTCTTCTGATTAATTTCAGGCTGGAGACACAGCACTTCATATTGCTGCTGCCCTAAATCACAAGAAGGTGGTTAAAATCCTACTGGAAGCCGGAGCAGATGGGACCATTGTCAATAACGTAAGTGGAGTTGCAACAGTGGTTTCTAAAGGTGTTCCCACCCCTTTCTGGATCAGGGCCTGTTGTTGCTGCCCCACCCCCTGCGGACTCCAGAGCACAGCCTCACCCAGGCTCGCTCGGGAAGACCATGCGGCGGCACTGACCCCACGATCCTGGGGCCCGCGGGGGTGGACTTGAGGGGACCCTTGCTCTCAGCAGCTCCACGAGTTACAAACCCTGAGGGCTCATCTTCAGACAACTCAGCGAGCATGTCCTGGCACGAAAAAGGGTCAGGGGTGTGTAAGTAAACTGGCAAGTGGATGTTACTGAAAGTGAGTTCCAGGCCTTTTAAACAGATGTGGTCCTCAGAAAAATGGCCACCAGGCTAATCTTCCTCAAAACTCCAACTGCTTTCTCTCTAAAATCGCCTTCTCTCACGCCCTCTCTCTCAGTGTCTCCCTCCTCCCCTCCCCCTCTCATCCTATAGCAGGCACCAGCTCAGGCACCCTCTCTTCCTCCAGGTTGGCCTGTGATCTCTGTGCTCCTGAAATTGCACAGACTCGGGGGGCACTGGGGGTGGAACAGTTGTCTGGGGAGTTGGGGGTGTCGAGGCTGGTAGTCCCCCTCCCAGCTTTAGTACCTGGATTGGTGGTACCTCTCCCATGATGCCATGAGCACCTTTCCCTTCCTTTGAATCCCACTGTTTTCAACTCCTGGTCTGGGCTTTAATCTCCCTAGAGTCTCTGTTATGGCCATAGCTTCCTAAATGTTTTTCACAGTCCAGTTCCTGAGACTCTGTGGCTGGGCCCTGATCTGCCCTTCCAGGTGTTTTCTCCATTGTACTCCC